GACAATTAAAAATTTTAATTTCGGATTTGCAATTTGAACTTTATTAAATGATTTTAAATTTTAAAATAAAATTTAAAGTTTTATTTTGATATTATTTAATATATAAAATAATACATTTCGACGCTAAATCGACACTATTTTAGCATCGATTTAGCGTTGATTTATCTTACCAGTCGACGCTAAATCAATGTTATTTTAGCATCGAATTAGCGTCGGCACAAATAAAGGTCGATGCAAAGTCAATGCTAAAATAGCATCGATTGAGCGTCGAGATGTTGCATCGAATCAAATTCGACATAACTCCGATAATGATGCAAAGTTTGCGTTGATTTAGTATCGACATAGTTGCTACGAATTTGCGTTGAATCTATTTCAACGCTAAATTAGCGTCGGTTTAGCGTCAAGAGTTTAGCGTGAAAACTGATTTGGCGAAAATTTGATACAAAACGTTGTTAGCGTCGAATTAGGATCGAATTTTATCTAACATTAAACTGTTGTTTTGTTGTAGTGACCTGGTAAAGGACATTGATCATGATTCGAGAGCCTACTTTTGGGCACCTATCCTATCACAAGAAAACAGGCCCTCGATATTTTAGCCTTATCTTAATTCAAATCTCATAAATTTGTAGTCTGAGTTTTTGGTCTCTAGTGGATTCAATTCCTAAGTATTATAGTAATTATTGATGCACTTACAGCGTATTTCTAGTGTTAAAATCTGAGATATCAACTAGTTACCTTCTATTTTAAATATGTTTTATATATTAAACTTGAAATTCCTTTACCGTTCTATCGCTAAATTGCTACGAATATCTTCCCGGCAATTCTATCGCAAATATGCGAGGGATATACGAGAAACGTAAAACACTAAAAAATTACTCTCAATTCTCTCATAGGTAATTGATGGATTTACGACGACTTTCTCTCTCACAAATTGTGAGTTTTACGAGAGCCGAGATATATGAAGTTATGAACTATATAGCAAACATGAAAACATATTTAATATTTCTTCTCATATCAGGCTCACAACACAATGTAATGGATGTTTAGTTCAACTGTAACTATCGATTAATTTTTATAAAATTTAGTATCTAAACTTTCTGTTGTAGTTTTAGTATATGTGTTGTGAGAGAAAACGTACTCTCTTCAAAGTTCACCAAATAGTTGTTTTAGAAGGAAAAACAGAAGATAGGGTTGTAGAAGCTGTGAATCCTAGATGAGATGTTAGGCTTGTTCTTTGTAATCCTTGTAAAACCCTCAAAAGATGAATAAAGATAGAAACTTGTTCTTGAATAACTCCAAAATATCAAAACGGAAAATACAAAAGCAAGGGTATTTAGGAGCCCTTGACTCTCCTTTCTGTCTCTCACAAATTGATCAAAATCCTTGATGAAAAAGTAAAGAGGCTACATGCCAAAACATATATAGCTGGAGCCGTTTTCCTTATTCTGCCGTTGCCATTGACGTGTCCCCCTGTGTCCTTTTGCTTGTGCTGATCCGATGATGTGCTCCCTTGGCCTTGGATCAGCTTCCTTTTGTGGGCCCTGAGCCTGCTTCGCTTATATTGGTAAAGGATAGGAGTCCTCTCTGTCTCCCTGCTAACAATA